TAGGGCCAACGTTGATCTATCGTATAAATTTATTTCCGATGCAATGTTATCAAACTGTATCGTAAATGAACACTGTAAGTCAATTGGAACTTCAAGACAACAAATTCAAGACAGTATGATAAAATTGCAATGTATGCAATCTGATGGTGAAGTAACGATTATATTCACGAAATTACTACCCCAGGACTCTTTAAAAATTTGCATTAAATTGTAAAAATCATAATCATAAGATTAGGAGTAGTGTTGATATATGATGGTCTTATTGGCAACACTTTTCAACCCAAATGTGATTTCGTATATTACTTACCTCCTTCTGTTTTCTTAGTACCAACCCGTTGCGTTTTTGCTAACATAAACAAAAACCAATTTATTCCATATGTTGCGTTGTGTATGAAAAGAAATTATTAGAAAACAGAAAAGGAAACGCAGAAATTTTAAATATCTGCTTTCTTTGGCAGACAAAACAGTGATGTATGCACGAAAACAAAATAAAATCATATATTTTTCAAGTACATTATGATTGTTAAAGAGTATGAGGTAACGTATTTTTCATTGCAGTTTTTACATTGAGGAAGCTAACGATTGTATTATTTTTTAAAACAATAGATTGGCGCCTTTTTGCGTTGGTATGCGTTTGCTTACTTTGATTGGTTATCTATGTTCCGGTGGCCACATTTAAAATTTGTGACCGGAAAACATTGAATCTAATGATGATTATCATTAAAACGAGCATTTAATCTAATACTCAGAAAAGATTTAAAATACAAGATTGTTGACAATCTTTTGTGCTATCTTCGTATTAAACAGTCTTTTATGTTCCAGCCGAAAACGAAGAATTGCTTAGGTTGCTGTAAATAAATAACAAAATAAATACATTTATTGAAACTTCTTTCAATAAAACTAAATCTCCTTTCATTAAAAGATGTTCTAGAGAGTTTGATGGTCCATATATTGCGAATAGCTAGTATAAGGTGTCCGCGGAGTCCTTGTCTATCTCCCAATAACCCTCTGTGGCAAAGTTCGATCCTCTTCCATCAAGTAGTATAAAATGATGTGTCGATGCATTCTACCTACTATTTATACGTCGATTAATACAAAATGAAAATTTATTACCATTTAACAATGTATTACTTAGCTTTCACGGATTCAGACTTTCTTCGGTTTGTTAAGATTAAATGAACTAAGCCAATATGGAATATGGCTTGTACCATTTAAAAAACTGCAAAAATTTTCAAGAAAAATATTAACTATTTTTCCAATCTGTGTTTCTGTGACTAATTCAAACTTTTTTTTTGTTTAGAGGTTCAGTTGAAGTGGACTAAAGCAATAAGAAGTTTGGATTATATATCCAGATAATAAAATGAAATACATGTGAATGTGAATGTTACTAAGGTACCAAAAAGACCGCGGCCATGATATGTTAAAATCAATATGTTAAGGGTAATTGTAGATTGATTAGTTGTATTTAGTGATGTAGAAATACTGTTGAAAAGTTTATCTGAAAATATAATGTTTTGGAGAAAATTTTGATTGAACGTAAAAATAAGGAAAAATTGTGCCATCAAAATGAACTATTTTTGCATGAAAATCAGCTTTTAATTTAAAAACAACTGCAGTGGCCAGGTATCCAAACAAGGTAAATGTCATTAACTTGAAATTCATATACAGAATTTTTTTGCAGCTAGCTTTACAGCATGTCTGATGGCAAGCAATTCAATAAAAGTCGAGAAGAGCTCCTCCATGACTTTGGCTTTTTATACTGTTTTACATAGACGCTTCACTACTGGGGAGCTGAATACATTATGCGACCGAACTGTCGGGACAGAAGGAAGGAAAAAGTTTTGAAACAAGAGATTTTCTTTTGACGGTAGTATTATATTTTTTTGGCTAATATTTTTTTTAGTCTTCATTATTATTCTTAATGTAAACCATAGACGAATTCATCAAAGAAAGGGAATTTTTATCATGCGATTTATGGTCGAGACATCGAAATAATTGGAGGAATACTTCTCTCTCGCTATAAGCGTGATTCTTAAGAACCATTGTCTTATTGAGCGCTAGTTCCCGCTCTCTGTTCGGACAAATTTTGTTTGGCGTACTATGTTCATTCGAACCACAAGCTATACATTTGATCACTAAACTCTGGTCAGTACATTTAGGCGCTTTGCCACACTGAAGGCCTTACAAAACTTTGAAGCCTGACTACATCTACCACACTTAACACATTGTTTTAAGGTGGGAATAAAATAATCCACCGTAATGAAACTTAATGAATTTAGAGAAGCATTTTCACTTAAAATTGATTTTCGTACTGGTAGTAGGGTTGATATCGTTCTTATCATTTGGATTTCTTCTTTGCAAGCTAATAGCAGACTTTATTGGAATGCCGGAAACGGTTCGATAATAAAACGAGTGGGTTCAGTTGCGGTGCAATTCAATCTAAGTGATAAATGTGTGTGAATAAATTTTTTTTTTGTATTTCTCTAAACCCTATACAATAGATCAAAGGGAGAGAGTGAGAACGAATTTGTGCAAAAAGTCAAAAATTGAAACTAACAAATAAATAGAAGAATTTAGTTCATTAAAAATCATCATTAAAACTCACTACTAAGTGAAGATAAATTATGAGATAATTGTTTTGTTAAAACCTACCTATCCGTTAAGATATTTTGTTAAGAGTAAACGTAAATAAAATTTGAAATTAGGAATGAAAACTTACGTCTAACTAAACAAAAGAGGAAACATGCTATTAAAACTAAAATAACTAAAATTAAACTCCGAGTAGAAGCCTTAAAAATCTCAATTAAATTACATGCCGTGGCCTGTTACAAAAGAGAACATATTGTTAAAAATTATGTAGATTAAAATTTAAATCTAATAAATGTGTGATGATTAAACTGTACATTTTTATAAAGAAATCTAAGAAAACTTCATTTGGAATTGAAATGTTGTAGGATCAAAGTCGATATATCTACGAGGTAAGATGCGACTATTAGGTGCCTTTCATATCCTCAATGGTTTTGTCGGCATCAAAAACTATAGATGAAGCAGTTCATGTGAATAAGATAAGTGGTATTTTGACGTAATTTCGTTATATAATTTTGGGTTCATCTATATAGATGTACGCATATAAATAAGTGTTTTGTCAATTTTCAATATAAACTTTTGATCGGCAAGTGAGTGCAATAGTTTTATGACGGTAGTAGAATGAGATTATGGTAATTGGACGATAGGTGGTAAGATAATGATATAAAGGGCGAACAGATATGCCCATAAACTAACTCAAAACGAGTGCTGATCTAGAAACAGAAGGACGGAAATTGATGACGAATAAACGGATAGACGTAAAACACAATAGCTCAAATGTGTTAAATCGGTACTTATTAAACAACCGGTAAGTTGAACAAAATGAAAAAAAGTCAACGCCAACAATCAACATATTACAAAAATTGGTTATATTGGTCAACAGCTCTAGTACATTTGTTTAACAAAAAAAAAAAAAAAATTTAAAATAGTTTATTTTAAATTTAAAAGTTATTTATCTAATCTATATAATTGTACTAATTCATATCTTATTTTATTACATGCTTTGAAATTTTGGTTTATATGCTGCATTATTTCCAATTTAAAAATGATTTATCGAATTGTTTTATTAAAGTGTGTTATATTAAAATCAAATGTCCAGCAGCTACGCTGCTTTCCGAAAACTCGTCGGTAAGAAGTGGTAGATTCTCAATCAATTCCAGCAACGATTTAATGTCCAAACTCAGCTCATTCTTATAAAAAGCAATTTGCTTATGCATACTATGCTAGTGCATGTATCATACTATCTGAATCGATATCCCACTTTGCGCTTTTTATTTAAAAAACATTTAAGTTGGATTGTATAATTTGTAAATTCTTTTTATTATATTTAATGTATTTTGTATTATATTTAATATTTTAATGAGCCTACTCACTTCTTTTCTTTTCTAAGCTTTTTTTCTTGTCATTTTATTCTGAAAGCCTGGAGAGCGGTTTTCGTATACTTCCTGCCCTTTACATACGGTATTTATTAAGTGCTTTTCTATCGTTTTTTCTTACCTAATTGACTTTTGCTTGTATATATTTTAAATTTTACATCTTTTTGAATTTATTTATTTAGTTTAATTTATTCTTCTTTCTACTGGTTGTCGCATAATAAAAATGCAAACCTTTGCAACTAATGCAACTAATTCAATTTTATTCAATTTTTTTCCGTTTTGCTTGTTTTTCGCAGTAATAATAAAAATACGAATAACTATATTAAAGTCTGAAACCATATGATTTTGTTCTGCTCTCACAAATACGTTGCTGCTCCCTATTAAAAATAACGTACGCGGAAATCTTAAAATTATGCTAAAAATGTGTGTCAACGTAACGCAAGCTATAGATTCACTGCAAACATCTTCACAGCTTTTCATTCCACTTCATCGCAATAATCAATGCAAAATTTAATTTAGTTTTAGATTTATTTTCTGTATGGTTGTTTTTCCTACGTTTGCTGTCCATATTTATGTAGGTTTCTTTATTTTTTTTATTTAAGCCCACAAATAATGGCCTTCATTCTTCACTATTTTATAGGAAAATATAAACAAATCTGTATACGTAAACACCTATTATATGGGCTGAGTAGCAAAAGGTTGGAAATCAACACAGATGTTACGATATCAAAAGTAATGTGAAAACAAAAAATCATTTGTATGTTGATAAATGAGAAAAATAAGTCGAAAAATTTATGACGGCATAGGAAACCCTTTCCTATTATTAATCGTTGTATTATTTAAAAAGGACTCTTTAATAGAATACACTTCAATATAACAATTTGACATATTTGTTTTGGATTAAAGATCAATCGAGACATTTTGCGTTCACGCAATTTAGCGATTTACACCGCTACCTTTTCTTACAGCCTGTCAACAACACATGTAAATATTCGCAGCCAAATTATGAATCTATTTCTTTAGACACTCGTTTACTTTCGTAACTTTCAGCTCTTTCGCAATACTCTTCATACACTTCATCACTCCTTAACCTACAAAATTCAATCTACGCGGTATCGTCTTTTAATACCTTGAAGGAGAAGAAAGTTCAAGTACAATTTCTTCAAAAGTTAAGATAGAAAATGGGACCAGAAAATTAATTTGAAAATCGCGAAAGATAATATTATTACTAATTACGCGTTGGACGCCATAACTGGTATTACATTTATGTATACGTCTGTACACATTTATAATCCAGTCATCTATCGACTTTATAAAGGTTCAAATAAAGAAAACATTGAATCTTTTTTAGTTAAGTCATCAGCACTTGTCTATTATTGGATTGCTGGCTTAGAGAAGAAGAAGAAAATAAACCATCATTGTGCGAGCCTCTTATGCTTGTTAATAAGAAACCTGCTTGCAAACAAGAATCTTCGTAGAGACATAAACAGCTTTAGAAAGCATCGAATCGTCATTCTTTTGTTGTTAATTCTGTTTTTTCATCGAATGGTTTATGTTTTTTAGTAGGTTCATCAGAAATGAGTTTGTGTGCGCTTAAATTTATGTTTCTACCTTTATTTTTTGTACTCCTTGCAAGCAGAAACGGTAAGCAATTTATGCATGGTCAGTAAGATGATTTAAAGATGTAATTTTTTAATCCAAGGCTCAGCTATATGGTGCTATCGTTGCACTTCGAGTACACCAGGATGTGGGGAGGATTTCAGTTGGCGTGGAATTGGTTATTTAGGTGAACAATGCTCTGAAAACAAAGACATATGTGTAAAAGTAATCGAAAGAAGAGGAGGTGACAAGTTTTGCAAAATTATTGTGCATTGTTAATATTTCATTTATTTTAGCTAAAGAAATCATCACGCGGGATTGTTTAAGTTCCTTAAGTTTGCGTACGGACATCCCAGCAGATAAATACGAAGGGTGTCGTCCAGCGGCAAACGATGTTCATTTGGCTCATTATGTCAACCACACCGTTAAGGAACACGATGTTAAACGTAATTATTATAGCAATGTTACTTTTTGCTTTTGCTTTTTAGACCACCGTTGTAATAAGAGTGGAAGGTTTTTGAAAGGAAATCCAATAGTAACTTTGAGTTTGTCCAGCGCAATTATATTTTTTGCAGTTCACGTTTATTAAACATCTTGCATTATAGCATGTATATAAACGCTTTCATTATGTTACGTTTTCGTCTTTTCAATTTCGCTTATACTGCGTAAACTAAATAAACTGTTTGTTCAATACAAGTGAAATAGGTGTTTATGCAAATATTGAAAACGATGATTATATGCCATAAAGAGAGAAAACTAAAATTCTATCTTGTTTACGTTTGACGGTTGGTCTTTCGTTTATTTTAGTAAAGAAAAAAAATGAAATTGCTTAAGTAGTTTGTTTACTATTCTATCGATTGATTTTACAGATTGAATGTATGTGCCACGATTTTCAACCGAAAATAGGTATCTACTTTTCAACATAATAGCTGCGAACGCTTTAAATAACGGAACATGACTGCAGCAATTATATACGGCGTTTTAGTTGAGCTCATGTTAAAGGTCGCATTATTGCAAAAATTTGAACATCTTGGTCCTATAGCATGTCGATTTACGGTATATTAATCGTAAAATAAAGTGAACACGAAACTAATTATAATTAATATCGCAGACTTCCTTAAACGCCCCGAACACTAAAAAATTTATTATGTAAATGTAAATAAAAGTTAACTAACTCTGGTTAAGCCCACTTTAACTTATATTATAAACTCTAGTCCTGTTATTTTCGCGCGAAATTATAATGCAACGCTGTATGACTTCGTTTTACAGCTTTATATATAAGCGAGTATAACTTTCAGTAATTTAGTCTCTTAAGTAAACACACCTCGCGGTGAAAGCTCTAAATATCAATGCATTGGTGCGGCAGCCAAAAGCAGCGCGCAAGCAGTAATCTTTTCTTTAGTTGTTCAGCAGCAGTTGAGCGACCAGGTAGGTCAAAATAGTAGTAGTCCTTTCGGCCAGGAACGAGGTCCATAAGATAACAATGTGCGCTTTCATCATTCTCTTACGGATCTTTGGGCCGAAAGTGTACTCTAGCTTGATAGCTAACCAGTGGTTGGGAGTTCGTTATTTTCCGTCCGGAACGAGGTCCTTAAGGCAACAGTGTGCGCTTGAATCATTATCTTATAGACTCTCGGCTCCAAAGGACGCCCCAGCTTTGTAGTTGACCAGTAATTAGCACGTCCCTATGGGGGTCCTTAAAATAACAGTTTGCGCTTGCATCATTATTTTATAGACTCCCGGTCCGAAAGAATACCCCGGCCTACAAAAGCTAGTAGTTCGTCACTTTCGGAACGAGGTCCTCGAGATACCAGTGTGCGCTTGCACCATTATCTCACAGACGCCCGGCCCGAAAGTGCATCTTTAGGGACCCGGTAGACTGCCTGCTGAACCACTAAAAACATCAATTAACAGAGCATACAGAGAATTTCATTTTCGCAATACAATCGCACGTGAGTTATATCTCCCCGGTAAAGAGAAAGCTTAATGCGTGTTGGCTTTTTTTCACCACGAAGTTACGTTGTAAATAAGGCTATCTTGTATGCTTCTTGGATTCCATAAATATATATTTGATCTAACACCAAAATACGGAGGTTCTGTTAATTCAACGAACAAATTTTCTTGCAGAGACTGAAGAAAATTTGTGGTATTACTGTGTTCGTGTGACATAATCGGCTGAGGGTTGCGTTCTAAATACCCACCCCCATTGAATTATCTGTGAATGCTCAACACTTTCAGCTATAGTCTGGCCCACAAGGTGCTTGTATGTACTACAGCCAGATTGTATTCAATTTATAACGTTCTTTGAATCCGACCGCCTAATATTATGATGATTGAATGTGGATTTGCTTAGTCTGTTTGCAAGCGCATTATTAATCCCAACAGAGTGGACTGTGGTTTTTGTGGAGCGCATTTCGCTATTATAGGTTATTTCAATACATCCGGCCGTCTATTTACGGTTTAATAAACGGTTTAGTTCATCTTAAATGCGCTGGATTTAGGGGTAGGGAAATCGTGATACTTGCATCGACTGTTCGATGCCGAGACGAAGAAAAGTAGAACTTTTCAATTGAATATTCAACAGCTTAATAAAATATCGTCCTTTAACATTCTAATTCTACTATCATTGTTTGATGGTTTCTTTCATTTGCATTGCTGGTCTGACGGCGTCCTTGTTAAATCTTTTTTACCATGAAAAAAAAAAACTACGCCTATTAAACTGGAGCCATCTGATAAACATCTAAAAAACTGAATCACAAGTTTATTGTTCTTTATCTGAATGTGTATGGCCCCAACACGAAACTTAATGATTTGACAGTTAGTACTATAGACTGCGATTAGAACAATGCAGTTCTTACCCACGCTTGGTTTAAATCAAATGCCAACCATGCTGAGATTTTTCGTCAGGACTTTTAGGTCTTCAGAAGGGATAGAGAACGTGCTGAGAGGTGTTTTTAAGATCGGTAATTTCATCCGTTCATTTGTTTAAGTTTTCACCCAATAGCGTTCGGGATTTGATTACGCTTTGATGTTGATGCGATACCATTAATTTCAAAAAAATTTCACAACTACCAAATATTATTGGCAATTCCTTGTTCCTTAATGTCTTTTACATTACAATCAGTAAGCGCAACACTTAAGCTTTTGGAAAAGTTTTTTGATTATAACTTTTTGATAAAATCGAGAGAAAAGTTTGGCCTACCCAATATGAGCAGACTGCGCCGGAATTCTGAGTGGTTGCGATTTTTCATATTTTTATCAGGCAATATTTTCTCCCGCTTCAAACTTTCACTTAAAGAATTTCTTTCAATAAAGATCCTTTCATAGCCACCACGGAAGAATGGTGGGATTACGTATTTTGTTATAATGTTTGCAACATCCGAAAGAAAGCTTGTGAGACCGTATAAAATATATGTGTTCTTGATTGTGAAATTCGGAATTGCTGGAGCCATATTTACCCGTCTGTATGGTGTGTGTTGTTGACACTCTCCTGAAGACATTCACTTAAAATTTAGTGCTAACATTGGAAGCTTTTGCACGCAGGCTGTTATTGAAAATGGGTCAAATTGGTCAAAGTACAAGCCCGCAGTGAAGCGTAAACTGTGCGCAAGTACGTTTTTCTAACCAAAAATTTGAAACATTTATTTTACCGAAAACTATCTATTAGTAAAAAATCTTGAAACTGCATTTTTTTGTTCGTTTTCTTATTATTTTTTAAATGCACAAAAATTTTCTGAATTTCAAATTTTGAAAGTGAAGGTATTTTTAATATTTGACAACTTAGCATAAAAAGAAAACAATTTTAAATTGAGAATGACACAAACAAGACATTTAGTTGGTATGAGATTTACTTCTGAGAGTCAACTGAATTGGGCTGTTCATTTATTTTAGCTGAGTTTCATATGTAAGTAATAAGTAAATAAAAAAGTATTAACTCTTTTTGGTTTGACATTTCTATATTTTGTTTCTGCTTTCATCATTTTGTGTCGTTTCCAACTATATTTGTTTTTTCTTATTTTCACTTACTTTGCAGACAGTTCGCTCAATCCACTTTCTCAATTTTATTCGGTTGTTTCTATTAGAGGTATTTGTGTTTTCAGCTTTATTTTATTATAGGCAGAGTTGCCAATTTGCAGTGGTACCGATAATTGAAATTAAAAAATTTATGTGTTCTTTGATTAAACTTCAAAGAATATCAATCTGTCGTTATCTTTAACACATTTTAAAAAGTAAAAGATCAAATATCATTTCATATCTTAATATGTAGTCAAAAAACTTAAACTATTTAAAGAAAAACGTAATATATATAAACAAGTGTGTAACACAGTGTACTTTAAAAGGAGAAATCAAATTGAAGAGAACTTAACCGTTAGGAACACGGGTATACTATTTACAAGCGGAAACATAGTGAAACTAGATTCTTGGTAAGTATTTGAGTAAGTTTTTCATATGTAGGAGAACTATGGAATAGTTTTTGCGGTATTGCTTACGAATTAATCCCGCTGTTTGCTAGAAACTGTCGATTCAAAATATAGTATCATTTGCACACGATATTAATATTTTTCATTCAAACAAGGCATTCATCAATATAAATAAACATTTGCAGAAATAATTCGACATGATAGAAAAATAGGGCGTTGGTTGGATGTTAAAAATAGACACTGATATTTTTTATATATTTTTATATATTTTCTCTTTTTTTTAGATTTCCCTTGGCGAAATACAACTGCGACATGAGAACAAACTCTAAATTGTTCGGAATAACATCAAATCTAAACAATATAAATATATCTTCAAAGAATAAAGTTAGACATAGGGATATAGATATAGATTGATATAAGAACAACTGTCTTTTACCATATATACACACGGGTAACTGATAAATCTACTCAGTTTGTTATATCCAACAACAATAGTAAACGCACGACCAAACTTTATTAAATAAAGATGCACAGTTAACATTAAAATCCAAAAAATTCTGATTGCTATCTCAATGAAATGATAGTGTATTGTTTTCTGTTACCATAATGAACGTCCTTTTTATCCTAATCTAAAATGAAATGAGGTTTTTTTTTCCTTCTTTTTTATCAAATTATTATATTAAAAATTGTAGAATCTTTGCAAATCAAATTAAGCACAATCTGTAAAATGACCACCACTTTAAGCTTAGTATACTATAGAGCACTCTCAAGGACCAATGTACAAAAACAAAGTGATATTGTGTACTATTGTTTATTATAGTCTAAGATTGAATATGCATTGTTCCTTAATAAGCACCAAAGAATTCGGCTGTACGGTGGACAACAAGTTGTTTGTGTATTCTATCGTCAGGTTCTGTTCAATTAATAACGGTTTTTGAATTGAGCCATGCCACAATACGCTGCGGCTTAATGTCATGATGGTTGATTATATTAGGTGCTTGAATGTATTTGGCTATTTTCTCACTTGAAAAGGGCATTTGTTAAGAAAAATTGGTAAAATATGTATTAACTAACATATTTTCCATCATTTTCTGGCAACAAGGTGATGCTGTGTTGAAAGAACAACATTGGCTTGGCAGCGATCCCATCATTGACTTCTTCTTGCACTCTTTCAGTATTTCGAAATCGCGTGCCAGCCAAGCAACGCTGCACCGATCTGAACAAGTGGAATCAGAAGGCGCCAAGTCTGGCGCTGGGCTCGGTAGACCTTTCCATTCGAGCTGCACAATGTATCCTTGAGAACTCTTGCAATCTGTGGCCAAGCGTTTTAATGTAAAAGGATGACTTCGCGTCTGTTAACTGCCGTTGCTGGCCTTTTTCGCAACTAAACATTGTTCTATTTCTTCATTTGACCTCGATTCCTAATACACTACACCTTGCTGATCCCATCATATGCACAGCAAAACTTTATGGCCACGAATATCCCGCTTCGACGTCCAGCTGGATGACTCTCTTGGACTATCCCATGAGTTTTTGCAATTGGGATTGTTGTAGTAGATGCGCTTTTTTTGCCAGTCACAATATACCATAGGAAAACTTTTCTCTTTCTGCCTGGTAAGCTGTGCAATCGCGATGTTGAAACGGTTTGAAATGATATTTTCAGTTAATTCGTATGTTAGCCATTTTCCTTCCTTTTAGATCTTTTCCACCACATGTAAAAGGCTAGA